TCTTCTGGGGTTGCTAAAAGGAACACGCTCCCAAACTAAAGAAAGAAAAGAAAATTTTAAATGTAAACACTTTGGAGGTCCATTTTGGTATTGAGGCTCTTTGAGATAATTATTAATTATGATACTTAAAATCCTAAAGTTCCCGGACTTCCCTGGTGGCCCAGTGGTTAAGACCCCGTGCTTCCAATGCAGTGGGCGTGGGTTCAATCCCTGGTCGGGGAAGATCCCACATGCTGACGGGTGGAGCCAAAACCAAAAAAATCCTAAAGTTCCCTTGCCCTTCAAAAACATTATCTTGGCCGAAATCCACCCTCATCCTCAGAATAGCTCTGAATGGCTTTTTATTTACTTATTTATTTATTTTTGGCTGTGTTGGGTCTTCGTTTCTGTGCGAGGGCTTTCTCTAGTTGCGGCGAGTGGGGGGGCCACTCTTCATCACGGTGCGCGGGCCTCTCACTATCGCGGCCTCTCTTGTTGCGGAGCACAGGCTCCAGACGCGCAGGCTCAGTAGCTGTGGCTCACGGACCCAGTTGCTCCGCGGCATGTGGGATCCTCCCAGACCAGGGCTCGAACCCGTGTCCCCTGCATCAGCAGGCGGATTCTCAACCACTGCGCCACCAGGGAAGCCCTGTAAATGGCATTTTAAGGTAAACCAGCGTGAGTGAGCAGGCGCAGGGCAGGGAAGTCCCATGGTGAAAGCAACAAGGCTCCTCTTCCCTTGCTCCCCACCCGCCCAGGGCAGGGTCTCCTGGGCCCTGGTACCCCGTGCCTGCCAGGCCCAGGGCAGTGGCACGCCCGTGAGTCCAGCCGAAGCCCTCTGACACCATCCAGCAGGCTGCATCCTGGCAGAAACATCACTAGGTTTGCTCCTCCTCCTCAAGTGAAGTTTAAAATGGATTCTAGGGCTTCCCTGGTGGCGCAGTGGTTGAGAGTCCGCCTGCCGGTGCAGGGGACACGGGTTCGTGCCCTGGTCTGGGAAGATCCCACATGCCGCGGAGCGGCTGGGCCCGTGAGCCATGGCCACCGAGCCTGCGCGTCCGGAGCCTGTGCTCCGCAACGGGAGAGGCCACAACAGCGAGAGGCCCGCGTACCACAAAAAAAAAAATGGATTCTATTCTCAGTTGCATAGTCATCCATTTAGATTCATCATGGGCCACTGGTTAAAACAGGAAGCGTGAATGAAGTATGAATTAATAAGGAAGATACAGTGATAATTACAGCCAATTTGCCGTGGTATGTTCATCACCAGATCTGTCAGCTCCATCTATTTGATCAAACGTCTCTAGTTCTTAACAAACCATTGTTAAAAAGAGAAGATTTGGCCATGAAACGCATTTTTGTCTATTTCATTACCATTCTACACAGGTGGGTTTCAGTGAGCTCGGTTCCCGAACTAGACTATTAAATTCACTTCTCATCTGGAGCTGGCAATGGGAATTGTGAGATCAAGGCTGGAAAACAAAGAGGCTCATGTTGCTGAAGGTTAAGGGAAAGTAATCGCTGGAGAAATCGCACGCCAGACCCCCTATTAACATCCACCCTGTGTGCGTCTCAGACTCCAGGGCCAGATCCAGCGGGTTCATCCAGCATCACCAGCCCCTAAGCCCATTAAATGCACGGTGAGGGGATAAGTATGTGATCTCCATAGCTGGCATCAGCACTCTCTGGTACCAGCGGGCAAGTGGACTGATAATGATTTTAGATGACTTTTGCCCACGACCCAGGGACCTCAGGTGAAGATCTGCCATGTGCGATAGCTCTTTAGGTGTAGGTGAGGAAAACAAGATGGGTCACTCATGCCTGCTGATGCCAGGAGATAGAGCTAAGGGAACACTCCCAAACACGAGGTGGGGAACAGAGATTTCAGTGGAGCAAGCAGGAGCTGAGGTGGCCCTGGGAACACAGCCCACAGGAATTCAGAACAAACCCAAGGAAGACTCCGGTCTTCCAAATTCAGAGAATACGTGTTTGGATCAATCTTATCTAGACAGTAGGGCTCTGGGAGACCCTGGTGACTCTACAGTAAGTCCCCTACTTACGAACCTTCAAGTTGTGAACTTTCAAAGATGCGAACGTGCGTTTGCACGTCCAATCACGTTGTTAGTCCACGTGTCTGGAGTACATTGTCACGTGCGTGCATCCTCTACAAGTGGCTGTGCTTTTGTGTCCTTTACTGTCCAGCACTGTATAGAGTACAGTCCTACAGTATCTTTATTTCAAGCCCAGGATGTCTGGAAGCAAGTGAAAAGCAGCAGTGTACAGCCGATTGTGTTAGGTGAGCACCTAGGCTAACTTTGTTGGACTTTCGAACAAATTGGACTTACGAACGCACCCTCGGAACGGAACTCATTCGTATGCAGGGGACTTACTGTACAGGATTTCCACTGAAATCAGCAAAGCATTGAAGACCATGGCCCCAGGGCGCAGCTTCGTGGAATAAAATCAGCTGTGCAAGACCAGTTCAGCCTCAGAGCACGATGCTTCCCAGCCTGTGTGTGGCAGAGCCTACGAGCTGCACCCCACCCCCGAGGATTCATTCTGCCCTTCTTCTTTAGCAGTCGAGCTCCGATTTTAAGCTGAGGAAGCAATGTGTTTAGTTAAAAGACTATATTCCCAGCCTTCCTTGCAATGAGGTGTGGTCTTGTGACTATGTTCTTGGCAATAAAACGCAAGAAAAGTGTAGTATGGGGTTCCCAGGAAGGCTGCTCAAAGGGTACCTAACTCATCTAGGAGGAGGGCCCTTCAGCCCTTCATCCCCCCAACCCTCACCTCTTTAATTTTTCTTTCTGCAAGCCTGGAACTTGGGAGTATTGGCTGGAGCTCCAGCAGCTTTTTGCACCATGCAGTGACCTTGAGGTTGAACCCCATGTGCCTCAGCACCCTGGGTCCCTAATGACACTGTGGAGTTGCCATACAAACTCCAGACTTCCTGGCTCCAAAATGCTTTTAGGTGAGAAAGAAATACCTTAATGTTCCTTAGAATTGATAAACATGCTCCACTCTCAGGTCTTTGCACTGGCTGGACCCTCTGCCTGGAGCACTCTGCCCCAGATGTCCATATGCCTTGATCCCTCACTTTCTTCAGCTGTCTAGCAAAAAAGCACTAAGAACCAGAGGCACTAAGGCCTTCTCTGACCACCCTGTTAATAACGGCACCCATGTCCCCCATTGTTCCATAGAATCTATCGCCATCTGTCATAGTGTAACCGAAAGTGGGGTCCGGCTGCTAGCCACTCAAAGCCAATGAAGAGGCAAGGTTGGTGGAAAGGAGAGTTTGCTTTATTCTGGATGCTGGGGGTGGGGGTGGAGGGCGGACTCCTGTCCTAAGGCTGACTCCCCCCCAACCGACAATCAGGGGGCAAGAGCTTTTTTAGACAGAGGGAGGGGGCTACATGCAGAAACAGCTCTGACAGTCATCTTGAAACTGGTCATCGGTGGTCTGACCACCATCATGTTGATGGTTTTAAGCACAGTTAATCTTCAGTTCCAGGGTTGGTTTGTTTCCATTTCTTTGAGGCCAATTCTCGGAATTGTGGCAGTTTATGTCATGGCTACAGTCTGGTCATCAGGTAGTTAACTTCTCCACCTGGTGTGGGTTTCAGTATCTATAAGACAGCTCACAGGATATGGCTCAGAAAATTATCTATAGCCCTTGAGAAGGAACTAAAGGTCCTTGACTATGCTTAATGACTAAACTATTATTATTTGGTCTCCTTTGACTGTTTTGCTTTGTTTATGCATTTTCTCACTTCTCTGATTAAACTTATCCTTTGGCTAAAGTTTTTCCACAGACAGAAGGCAGGAGGAGAACATGGGGGGAATAGACCATAGGGTCCTGCTCCGTTTCAATAGTACGTATCTTTTCCTTGTCCATTTGTTTCCTGTCTATCTCCCTCCGCTAGGAAGTAATCATCACAGGGCACAGGGCATCACAAGTCACAGCTATTCTGTGACTGCTGCACCTCTTGTGCCTAGTACAGTACCTGGCACAGAGAAGGCACTCAATAACGATTTGGTGAATAAATGAATGAATGACTAGCGTGATCTAATGGGCAGGCTCCGCAGGCTCAGTCATCCTCCCAGGCCCTGGTGTGGGGTCCATTAGGCCCAAGATGTGTCACCAGGCATCCTCTTCCCCTGTGGTCACCAGGAACCAGGCTGCCTGTCTGCAGCGGGCAGGGCAGAGGAGACGGGGCAAGGCTCACTCTCCTGACTCTGTTGGACTTGCAAGGGGAGAAAAGCAAGCCCCTGGCCCTTTTCCTGCCCTCTGACAGTTCAGGTGTGTGAACCCTTGACTTGGGGGCTCAGCCAAAGGTTCATAATGTGCTGATACGGCTACAGGGCCCTTGAACCAAGTCTGCACCCCACGTACATCCATCAGTCGGCCCCAAGAAATACTGAACGTGAGGGGTACTATGGTGCGTAAATTTATGTGCCAACTTGGCTGAACCACGGTACTCAGATATTTGTTCAAACATCAGTGTAGATGTGGCTGTGAAGGTAGATTTCAGGTGAGATTAACATCTAAGTCAGGGGACTTTGAGTAAAGCAGATTATCCTCCATAATATGGGTAGGCTTCATCTAGTCTGCTGAAGGCCTTAAGAGAAAAAAGCCTGATCTCCCTGGAACTGGGGATTCTCCAGCAGACCACCTTCAGACTCCAACTGTAGCTCTTCCCTGGGTCTCGAGCCTGTGGCCCACCCTGCAGATTTTGGACTTGCCAGCCTCTACAATCACATAAGCCAGTTCCTTAAAATAAATGTCTCTCTCTATATACACATCTACTTGGTCGCATTTCTCTGGAGGACTCTGAGCTAATACAAGTGCCATTCTTTCTTCCGTGTTCCAGAGAATATTGGGAGCTCTAGAATGTCTGAGGAGGAACAGCAGACCCTCAGCCTCACTAATAAAAACTAGAAAACGAATTAATGAATGTCTCTCAAGGAAGCGGTACACACCTTGACCCACTGGGTCAAACCAAGAACACGAGGAGACGTTGCGCACTCAGAGCCGTGCCAGGCCCAGATGGAGAGGGAGCACGATGGCTTTATTTATTACCGAATGAAGAACCAGGCCTGCGGCCTCATTGGGGCCCCTGGTCCCCCGCAGGGAGGTGGAGAGGGCAGTGCTCAAGGCTTGTGTTTCCAGGAAGGCAGAGAGAACCTCAGGCCGCTGAGAGGGCAGGCAGCACTTTTCCCACACACTGGCCAAAGCCAATGCGGTACCCGTCCCCCTGGCACTGTCCTGCAACAGAGGAGGACAGGGGTCAGCCACGAAGCCGCTGGGCTCAGGGGAACCAACGCCCAAGCGGCCACGGTGCCGGTCAGCACACAGCTGAGCCCAAGGCAGGAAGGCGCCATCCGAAGGACAAACGTATTTTCGACAGAAAAACCACCTTCTCCAGAAGCTGGGCAGAGCTACAGGAGCACCAAGATGGAACTCCAGGCTCGCCCTACTGTCAGGGACCCTCACAAGAGGTGCAAGGATGGCACCTTGGCTTTCCCGAGAGGCAAAGCAATAGGTATAGGTCAACTCTCCCTAAGTAAGTCTGAGTTCAAATCCTAGGCTTGCTAATTAGCCTGAGGCTAGACTGACTGGGTTCAAATCCTGGCTCTTCCACCTACTGGCTCCATGACCTTGAGTCCCCTTGGAACTCAGTTTCTTTTCTTTTCGTTGTTTTTTTTATTTTTAATGTTTATTTATTTGGCTGCATCGGGTCTTAGTTGTGGCACGTGGGATCTTCATTGTGGCACGCGGGTTCCTTTAGCCTAGTTGCAGCATGCGGGATCTAGTTTCCTGACCAGGGATCAAACCCGGGTCCCCTGCATTGGGAGTGTGGAGTCTTTACCGCTGGACCACGAGGGAAGTCTCTGGAACTCAGTTTCCTCATCTGTGAAATGGATCTAATGATAGTACTCACTGCGTAGGGCTGTTGCAAAGATGATATGAGTTCATACACAGAGAACTCCAAAAGAGTGCCTTGCCCAGGGGAAATGCTCAGTGTCAGCTATTATGATGATTATAAGCTGGGGGATTAGGGGCAACTCGTTTAACCTCTGAGCTCAGCCCCCTTGTCTGCAAATGGGAATAGCAATCCTTACCTCTCAGGGTTGTGAGGATTCGATGAAACACGTGGCTGAAGCCCTAGCATGACATGTCTCCCAGAGCAGATGTTAAACAAATTCACTCAATTCCATTTCAACAGAAAGGCAGAGAGGAGGAGGCCCTTGTCCCTGGACCTGAGAAGGGTCCACTGAGTGGGAGCAGCTGTCTGAGTCAGAGCAGACAAGTCTATGAGGAGCTGGGAGAGCAGCATGGAGGAAACAGGAGCAGAAAGGAGGGAACATCGGAGCTGGGACTTGACAGGTGGATACGAGTTCACCAGGGGGGACACAATGAAAAGGGTGTGCCAGACAGAGGGAACAGCGTGTGCAAAGACACGGAGACCAAGGCGAGAGATGCACGAGGTGCATTTATTCAGTGAAGCTGTTGTGTGCGGTCCCCTGAGAAGCCAGATTACAGAGTGTTCTTAGAAGCCATGTGAAGGAGTTTGAACCTTTTCCTGAGGTCACTGAGGTGACTCAGGAGTTTTCAGCAAGACAGTGAAAGCTGTGTTTTACAGCTATGTTTTAAACAGCGCCCTCTCCAGTGGCCCCTAGAGAGAAGATAGATGGAAGCACATAGATTTATGAGTGTCAGGCCTATACAGAGGCTCCAAGGCTCCTCAGATTGAGATGCTTCTCAAGCACCATGAGCCACGGCAGTGCTGAGGTGACGGCCACCTGCCCATGACGAACACGAGGGCCACTGCAGGGGATGCCCGTGACCTTGAGTTACACAAAACACCAGACCCCCTCACCTGCTGAAGACGACCCCCAAATCTGGAGTTAGGCCTTCTGCTACCCAATGTGAAGAAGGGAAAGCAAGGAGTTGCAATATTCCCACAACTGAGAGAAACAAATCGAAGCTCACTGCTGAGAGGACTCCCAGCCAACTGAACACTGAGACCAAAGACATCTTTGGGAGATGGGGTCAGGGACGTCCCAATGAGCCCTTCCAGTGAGCCCAGGGACAGTCCTCACGGCCACCTGTAGCTCAGTACAGCCTACCCAGCCTGTCTCCTCCCACTTCCTCCCACCTGCCCAGTCATCCCACCGGTCCTCCCTGTGAGGGCTGCTCTGACTGCTGGCCTTCTCTGGGGAGGTGGCAGCTTGGACACCAGCAACATCCCCAAACCAGCCCCTCGCCCTCCCCGGCATCACCGAGGCACATCCTTGCCACCCCACTGCTGACCCTTAACACTCAGTGTCACCTTTTGTCCAGAGCAACATCCTTGCCTATTCTGTTTCATTATTTTTCCATCAGTCACTTTAGAATCTCAATGCTCAGAAATATTCATGTCCCTGGGGGGAAAAAAAGCCTGTGGAAGCAAAACCTGGCAGAAATTCATCATCATTTACCAAAGCAGCTCACTCCAAGCTGCATTTTTTTTTTTTTTTTTGCGGTACGCGGGCCTCTCACTGTTGCGGCCCCTCCCGTTGCGGAGCACGGGCTCCGGACGCGCAGGCTCAGCGGCCATGGCTCACGGGTCCAGCCGCTCCGCGGCACGTGGGATCCTCCCAGACCGGGGCACGAACCCACATCCCCTGCATCGGCAGGCGGACTCCTAACCACTGTGCCACCAGGGAAGCCCTAAGCTGCAGCATTTTTAAAGCGCCTTCTTCCTGGAGAGCTGCAAATACTGAGAGGGTGTCTTCCTCCTCCCCACACCAACGCCGGGTGCTCTGTCGTTCACATTGCTCCTTCCTGCCCTGGGTTACAACAGAGCCACCACCCCCACCCCCCCACCAGCAAACAGCCCTGCCTGCTTCCTGAGAACAGATGCACGATTACATCCTGGTGGGGAAGCTGGCCACTTCCTCCCCATTTTACAGCTGCCAAGCAGATGGTCCACGTGGGGTTTCTTAACATCAGAGACGACCTTTTGAGTCAGATGATTCTTTCTCATGAGAAGCTGTCCTGTCCACTTAGGATGTTTAGCTGAGAAGCTGTCCTGTCCACTTAGGATGTTTAGCAGCATCCCTGGCTGCCATTCGGAGACAGCCAGAACTGTCTCCAGATGTTGCCAAATGTCCCCCAAGGGGCAAAGCCACTCTGGTTGAGACCACTGGCCCAAAGGATGAAAAGTGAGGCTCTGCACCCAGCTGAGGAAGGTCTTTCCAGGCTCCCAAGCTGCTGCTCTCCAGTGCAGGGAGGAGAAGCTGGGGGCAGGTGCGTTCAGGCAGGGACAGAGGGCCCCGAGAGGCCAGAGCATGAGGAAAGTCTGCACCCAAGTCAGAGCGTGTCACCGAGCCCTGGGCAGAGGGGAAAAGCAGCTCCCTGCCTCCCTGGGTTGGGCTCCATCAACCATGGAAATGGAAGCGAAAAGTATACTCATCTCCTCTGGAATGTTATCTGATCTCACTGGCCCTTTCCTGAAATCTGACCCTCTGCCTATTCCCCAACTCCATCCCACCAATGGGAACGAGAATCCATAGCTACAGCCCAGTTTTCCAGCTTCCTGGAATGCCACGCCTGGGTGCACCCGTCACCTCCCAGAGGGAGGAGATCCCAAGGCCCAGAGCCAGGAGCCAGACCCAGCTGAGTTACTGGCAGAGCCAGGCCTGAAACCAGGGTTTCCTCTGCCACCAGAGCTTCAGGGGAGTCCCAACCGTATTATGTCACCGAATGAACCTAAAGGAAATGATCTGGGAAAGCAAATGGGAAGGGCTTGCAACTGTGGGGAAGTGAAGGTGGTGAGCTTTGCACTCCAAGGGAGTTGGTTGCATTCCAGGGCTGTCACCTGCCAGCTGTGTGATTCTGGTCCAGCTACTTCACCTCTCTAGACCTCCAATGGTTCATCTATAAATCAGAGTAATAGCACCATGGGAATTAGATGTGATAATGCAGGTAAAGTGACATGCACGGTACCTAGCACACAGTAGGCACACAATAAATTGCTGTTGTGTTACTGTTGTCTTCATCGTGGTTTTCTTGTGTTTCAGCTGAAGACTGTGTTTTAGTTAATGATTTTGTGTTTTAGTTAATGATAAATAGCTTTAGGCTAGACTTCTGGTTCGAGATAGGGCATCATTCTATACATTAACACTTTCCTTTTCTTATATTCCTATGGAAATGGTCAAAGCAATATAGATATAAGGGAAAAGTCTGTGGCAACACTAGAAACAAGAATGGAAATACTAAAAAAGATGGAACTTGTGCTGGGCGTTAGAAGACATGAGGATTAAGAATGGTGGGAGGGGGAGGAGGGCGTCCCAGGCAGCAGGAACAGCCCACGTGCCTGGCGTTGGCAGTGGGTGCTCTGTTCTATAGACAGAGGAGGCCTCCTTGCCCAAAAGGTTGGCCAAGGCTGGAGCACAGGAGCGGATACCATTGGTTGGGCTGGGGCTTTTGGTCTCCCAGAAGTGAGAACCACATGGCACCATAGGCAACATGACGTATTGGTTTAAGAGCACAGACCCTGGAACCCAACTGCCTGGGTTCAGATCCTGGTTTCTACACTTTATCATTCCAGTGGTTAGAAACGGATTTGGGGAATAGTCGCCCATGATGAGAGAGCAGGGAGATGACACGGTGGCATCTGAGCGGGTACAGCCAGAGGAGTAGGAAGAAGGCTGGATGGCTTCCAGCAAGAGGGTGGCTCACCCGGATCAGGTGCCAGAGGGGTCGTGGCAGGTGAGGGCACAGCACTCCGCCCACTGTGGTGACCTCAGCAAAGGCAACACAGCTGACACGCCCATGCCCCCCGTCCACCTCCTCACACGCGAGCACAGAGCTCAAGTCTCAGCCACATTCACTCCCTAGAATTTGTCAGGCATCTCCTTCAGCGTGAAATCTCTTCTTGTTTGTTTTTTTGTTTGATTAATATATAACTTATACCTCTTCTATTGCCAAATTGTAATTTTTATTCTTGTTCCAGGGAATTCCACCAATCTATTCCCGTTTCCCTCATTTCTTGCCAACATGTCCATCTTCAGATCCAAGGAATTGCCTTTCTCTGCATTTCTCTGCCTGGCCTCCGTAAATCCTTCTGGAGCAAAGGCGCTGTACACACACAAGTGACCCTCGCAGTATCCTGGCTCCGTCCTCACCCCTTCCTTGACTCAAACGCCAAGAACACATGTGAATCCCATCTGCCTGAGTACTCATCTCCTTTCTTCCAGGCCCTGGGCAGCTGCCGGGTCCACAGCGGCTTAGCTGGGGGCTTATACAATAGTGACAAGAGAGCTGAAGCCGTCATTTCCTCCTCTCCCATCCCATCTCCTTCCTTCCTTTCCTCAAACCAAAACTTCAGAAAACGCTTTCACTCGATCCATAGAACCACGACTGAGGGCCTGCAGTAGCTCTGGCAAGAACTGTAGGACCTCTTGATCAAAGCTGGCAAGGGAATCAGAAGACCCGAACCGTATCCTGCTCCCTCAGTGTGTGAATTTCCGCCAATAACCTACCTCCAATCAACCTAAGTTTTCTACTCTGTAAAATCGGGGCAATGACCTTACCCAAAGGCTTCTGTGAGTATGAAACAGAATCATGGAATCGGACGTGGCTGTAACATGGTTGGCCCCCACAGATATTCAGGAACCGTTAGTTAAAACTGGTATTAGAAAGGGTATGATAGGGCTGTAGGAAGAGTAGGGGCAAAATGGGTACTTACTGGTTAATTTTGGGCATCATTTGCTGCTGTCTTGAGCTCTGCCTGCATCTTCTCTACTAAATCCACTTCATTTATTCAACCAACCAACAACCACACTGAACACCCACTATGTGGCCGGCACACAGTCAGACTGTAGAGAGAGGGAAGGTCTGGACCTTGTCCTCTAAGAACTCTGTAGTAGGCTGACTAATGCCCCCCAAAGGTATCAAATACTAAACCATGGAACCTGTGAATGTTACCTTATATGGTAATGTTTTTTGCAGATGTGATTAAGTTAGGGATCTGAAGACGAGGAGCTTATCTGGGTGGACCCTAAATGCCATCACAAGTGTGTCATAAGAGAGAAGCAGAGGGACATTTGACAGACAGAAGCAGAGGAGGCAATGTGAAGACGGAGGTAGAGACTGGAGTGATGTGGCCTCAAGCCAAGGAATGCCAGTAGCCACCAGCAGCTGGAAGCGGCAGGGAATGGGTCCTCCCCTTGAACCTCTGGAACAAGTGTGGCCCTGACAACACCTGGACTTCAGACTTCTGCCCTCTAGAACCATGAGAGAACACATTTTTGTTTTAAGCCAGCAAGTTTGCGGTCATTTGTTCCAGCAGCCCTGGGAAACTAATACAAGCTCTTAGCTAAGCATGGAAACTGACATGCGTACAATTAACCAGAATTCAGTGAGTTGCTCGTGGAGAGGACAGACTGATTGTCCCTGAGCAACCAGAGAAGGCATCATTTAAACTGAGCCAGATTTAAGCTCAAAGGTCTGCAGGCAGTAGGGAAAGCAGGGTTATGATTAGAATGAGGCTCAGTGGGGGGAACAGAATCAGATGAGGGAAGGGTATGAATTTAATGAAACAGGCGACAGGGTGCCACAAGAAAATCAGGAAGAGAAGAGTAACAGGGGGAAAGCAGACCTGAAGATGATTTTCCAGGCACCATGAGCGGGATGGATTGCAGGGGGCTGGAGCGAAGCTGTGCAAGCAATCCAGACACAGAAGGATGGTGCTTGGAGCAAGCCAGCTGCACAGAGATGGCAGGACACTTCAAAGGGATGGCCGACAGGATGTGCAGATGAAATGGGTCCAAGGTCCCAGCCCACAGAGGAGAGAGTCAGCAGTACCAAGACAGGGGCAGGAAGTAGGGGTGACAATAGGACACAGGAAGGGAAATGTGTGGCCGGCAGGCAGAGACCAGGATGTGGAGAGCGAGTGCAGAGAACGGGTGCCCCCTTAACCTGCCTGCAGGGCAGATGGGCATGGCTGATTCCCACGCTTCAGGTAGGGACTCCTGTTAAGGAGGGGTCAGGATGCTGGGCTTTCTCAAAACTGGGTTCTGGAAAAAACAGCAATGACAATGAGGACAACGGTGAAGACCGTCACCAATTTTAAGCACTCACAAGGTACCTTGCACCTTGTTAGGCTCTTTAGATATTATGAAAGGGCTTAAGAATTGGGGTTCTGAAGATAAGCTGCCTGGATGCGAAATCTGATTTCATGACTTACTGGTTGCAAGATCCTGGGCAAGTTATTTACCCCCTGCTAGGCCTTCATTTTCCCACCTGTAAAATGCAGGTGCAGCAGTGATGGTGGAACATGACCCCAGGGGGCAGATCCTGCACTTGCCTTGTTCACCCCTGAACCCCAGCATGGGAGTCACAGAAGCTGCTCCAGAAGCGTCCCCTGAAGGAATAAACTGGTTCGTCTCATCCTTACAACCATGCTGTGAGGTTAACTACTGTATCTATCATTAACTCCATTTTAAAGATGAGGAAACTGAGTTCACAAAGGTTCAATAACTTGAGGAAGGTCACAGGGCCGGTGGGGATGTGGGAGCCCAACCTGCACCTGACCCTGAGTAGCGGGCTGCTGACCACGGTGGCACCTTCCTCTCCAGCAATGATATGTGGTGGACAGAACGATCCCACAAGATGTAAGGGGTGCCCTGACCTCCTCGGAATGGGCTGCTGGGAAATCTTGTCACTAACTCAGCCAGGTCATAAGGCACAGGGTCATAGGGCACAAGGTCATAGGACACAGGGTCTTTGCACTGCAGAGTCCAGAACAATGGGAACCTGCCATTATTTTAGAATTTCGCTCAGGGAGGAAGGAGACAAAGCGGGACTTCTGCGGTCTTTTTGGTTCGGGGAGGCTCCGATTTAAAGTCCCTGGCAGGGACTTCCCTGGTCGTCTAGTGGTTAAGACTCTGCGCTTCCGATGCAGGGGGCGTGGGTTCGATCCCTGGTCGGGGAACTAAGATCCCACATGCCGCGCGGTGCAGCCAAAAGATAAAAAAAAATTTTAATTTAAACAAAAATAAAGTCCCCGGCAGCCAGGGTTGGGGCGAAGGCCAGTACAAGCAGACACAGACCTGGGACTGCCAGAGTGCGGATGAGTTGGGACAGATGGCTTCCTGGCCAGACGGTTTGGACAGCGACCGCGGGCGAGGAGGAGAGGACGCCCGCGGGCCCCGGCCCCCTCACCTGTGATGATGACTTCATCCCCGTCCAGCAGAAACTTCCTGGTCTGTCCATTCCCCAGCTCTATGGCCCTCGTTCCCCTCCACGACAGCTCCAGCATGCAGCCAAAGCTCTCTGGCTCCTTCATAACGGGAAAGGGAAGAAGATGTGATATGTATTTACATCACGGTGAGTGTGGCGGATCTGGTGTGAGCAGTGGTTAGCAAGGTGGGGGCCGGGGGGGCTGGGAAGGGGCGGGGGATCCCGCGGCCCTCAGAGACCCTGCCTCGGTGGGACCACTGCAGAAGTGTCCTCGAGGCCGGGCACTCTACCTGCACTGCTCACTCCATCCAGGACGCGGAGGTGCGGGATGCTGGATGAGTGTGCCCAGGCCCCTCCTGCCAGGCCCCTGCCGGCTCCAGAGACTGCGGCTTACCCAGACGCTGTCGTGCCTGACCCCACCCACTGGGAAGAGATTCTCCATCAAAGAGCCTGCAGTCTCGGCCTTGCCGGAAGTGACTGGTACACGCACCACCCAAAAGTCATCACCAATGGCTCGTGGAGGGGGGCTGGGGGGAATCAGTGGGCCACTCCTCCTGGGTGGGGGCACTGTGAGGTGGTGACAACCAGACACTATAGTGGCTTCCTGTGTCTGCCCCCGTGTCACCCTCACTCTCCCCCAGTACACACAGCCTCTCATCCCTACACCAGCCTCTTCTGAACTTGAAAAAGAAGCCCCTCCTGCACCCAGAGACGGATGAAGCTCTGAGTAGGACAGAGTTGAAAGATACACCTGCTTCGGGCTGGAATCCCTTCTCAAGGGAGAGCTGAGGGCCCTGCAGTTTGTAGGGGGAATAGGGGTGCTCCAGGTGGGCAGCCCCCAAGGCAAGCAGATACTCACCGGCCCGCTGATGGTTCCAGAAGCCAAGAGGTCCCCCGGCCGCAGGTTGCAGCCATTGACAGAGTGGTGAGTGAGCTGCTGCAGCACTGTCCAGTACATATACTGCGGGCGAGGGACACAGAGGCGGGGACGGGCAGGGTGGGCTTCTCCCAGCCTCCTGGAGCAGTCTGCCAGCCTGCGCCACTCACTGAGGCCTTCCCTGGGCTCTCTCCCGGCCCTCAGAGCAAGGACAAGCTGTCCTCCTGCAGCTACCCTGTGACCCTCCCCGCCTCTCTCCCCACCCCTTCACCAGCGACAGCCCCCGCTCCTCTGCCCCTTCCAGCCCTCCCCTAACCCACCTTCTCCATGAAGCGCTCCCCGAGGAGCCGACCTCACTGCTCAGACCCTCAATCTGCAATGTGCTCATCTGTCCATAATTCCACCCTGTCCTGCGATTACCCCTGAGTCCTAAGTTGACAAGGTCTAGGTCCTCGTCATAGCAGAAGCTTCTCATGAGCAAAGACCTCCTTTCCATTCTCCCACCCTGGGCTTTGGAACAGACACTGGGCAACAGAGCTGAACGACTCAAACAGAACCTCAGAGCAGACTGAGGAATGAAGGAGCATTGAAGGAGGTCAGGCTTGGTGGGGGCGGGCCGAGGACCACACGCCCCCCCCACGGAGCAGCTCAGAGGCGGCACGCCTGCGCCTCTCCAAGGTCACAGATTCTCAGATCTGCCACTCCTGGAGCTACACCTCCAGGCAGAGGAAATCTTAGAAATGGATTCTTACCCAAGAGACCCCTTCAAGGAGGCCCCCGTATTCCTTCTTAGTAGCCTAAGGAGGCCAGAATAAAGTTAAATTAGAAGGGAGACTGGAGGAAAAAGGAATACATTGAATCAGAGGATGTTCAAATGGCCAACAAGCATATAACAAGGTGCCCGGCTGCATCAGTCTTTTTTTTTTTTTTTTTTTTTTGCAGTATGCAGGCCTCTCACTGCCGTGGCCTCTCCCGTTGCGGAGCACAGGCTCCGGACGCGCAGGCTCAGCGGCCATGGCTCACGGGCCCAGCTGCTCCGCGGCATGTGGGATCTTCCCGGACCGGGGCACGAACCCGTGTCCCCTGCATCGGCAGGCGGACTCTCAACCACTGCGCCACCAGGGAAGCCCTGCATCAGTCTTTAGGGAGATGCAAACGGAAATCACAGTCCCCCAGAAAGGTGGAAATGAAAAGGCCAGCGACATCACGTGTTGACTTGGATGTGGAGCAGCCAAAACGCTTACATGCTGCGCGTGTGAGTATAAATTGGAACAAGCCCTTTGGAGAAGTGTTTGGATGTACCCCTCAGCTGAGTATGGATACATATCCTCTATGACCCAGCAATTCCATTCCTGGATATCCACCCAACAGACATGCGCACATACAAGCACCAAAAGACTTGGACTAGAATGTTCACAGTAACTCTCCCCCTAAAAATGGAAACAACCCAAATGTCCATCAAGAGTACAATCCATTGTGGAACATTTATACTGTGAACACGATACAACAGCTAAGAATCATGAACTGTCACTGCAAACTGCAACATGGTTGAATCTCAGAAACATAATGTTAAAACAAAAGAAGCCAGGGCTTCCCTGGTGGCGCATTGGTTGAGAGTCCACCTGCCGATGCAAGGGGACGCGGGTTCGTGCCCCGGTCCGGGAAGATCCTACATGCCGCGGAGCGGCTGGGCCTGTGAGCCATGGCTGCTGAGCCTGTGCGTCCGGAGCCTGTGCTCCACAGCAGGAGAGGCCACAACAGTGAGAGGCCAGTGTACCGCAAAAAAAAAAAAAAAAGAAGAAGAAGCCAGATAGAAAAGAGTATATACCATATGATTCTGTTTTTATAAAATTTAAAAAACAAACAAAATGAATGGAGGGTAAGAGAAGTCAGGAGAAAGTTTACACCCGACGGGGAGAGGGGTAATGCGCCTGGAAGGGGCCCCAGGGGACAGCTGAGGTCCTGGAGGTTTCCCGTTTCTTGATCCGGGTGCTGGTTGCACAGGGATGTTGTTTTGTGAGAATTCATTGAGCTGTACACTTATAATGTGTGCATTTTCATATCTATGTGTTATGCTTCAATTAAAAGTTCACTTTAAAAAAATACGTCACTCTGATCAACCCAGCCCCTGGCAAGACAGAAGTCAGGGACTAGCCCCTTAGAGGAATATCTATTATTCCCCAAGAAAAGCACTGGCCGTGTCCATGCAGCCTCCATCTGGAGGGGCCTCTGTGACCTCCTGGCCTCTTTGGAAAGAAACAGGGCCATGGAAGCTCTAGGCCCACATGCTGACCCATCATCATAGCCCAAAATGGATGCTATTCCCCCGGTCCTCCCAGGAAGAAAGGTCTCCCTCACTTCCAAAAAGCAGTTTGCCTAACTTCAAAGCTTACCTTAAAATTGGACCTGCATATGGTAGCTGCTTGGTTCATTCCTTCTCCTGTTGGGTAGACAAGACAAGTAACATTGACAAAGAGACCTAATTCTATTCATCAAGGAGGGGGGACCCACCTCGTAGGGGGCATCGTTTTGTGGTTTAAGCTTCCCATTGTCTAATGTGATTCTACCTAAAGAGTCCACGAACCAATGAGCTCATACGATATCAGAGCTGGGGGCCGTCCACAGAGAGGATCTAGTCCACGGATGGCAAAGAGATGCACCCAAGACACCACTTCCTCCTCCCACACCCACAGCAGACAGCACAAATTGATCACAGTACTGGTATCCTCTGAGATCAGATGCAGCCTCAGAACCCCCCTTAACACGATGCTCCTGGAAGCTGGTCATCAACTGGAGATACTGCACAAACTGAAACCGACTTGCCATACCCCCCAGAGCCCTTTGGACAGCTGGGGCCATCTGTCCCCTGCCAGACTCCTCCCGTGATGGATAATGTGCTACTATTTCAACAATATTTATTAAACAATTACACACCTACTACACACAAGGTACCAGGCCATTGCTGTGCCATTTCTGAAGCGTGCTGATAATCAGAACGCTCTTCTACTCCCCAGGGACTGGCCTTCCTCCCCTGGCCCTGTCTTCCTTTCTGAGGCTGCACAGAACAGGTGCGCTCATTGGCCCCATGGAAGGTCAGGGTCCCCCAAGCCTGCTTCACCCAGACCCCAACTCAGAACATCAGAACTGCACATTCAGGACTGGTGTGGGGAAGGGTCTTGGAAGCCATCCCTGCACCCGGTCCTCCCTCTTCCAGGTCTTTCTACATCTCTGGGCACTGCAACTTCTTGATAATCTTGTCCCCTTTCTCCGACAGTGCACTCCCCTGGATGTTTCCAGATGGTCAGGATGAAAACAAGAGAGAAATGACCTCCAAAGAGGCATTTGTGGGTAGGAGGACACCAGCCTAGAGCTTATGACATTTGGCTGTAGTCTCAGCCTTTCCATCGGCCGGCTAAATGACTCGCGGTGAATCCCTCTTCCTCTCTGAGCCTCACTTTCCCAATTGATAACGTGAAAGAGTGGAACCAGCACAGTTTTCCAGGGGCGCTCTGGCGGCTACGAGGCTCTTCCTAGGAGCCCTTTCTTATGTGGAGCAACCTCCTCCCGAGAGAGACAGCTCCTTCCTCTTCCTGGCGGACACAGCCTGCTGCCAGGATCACCTCCGTGAAGGATGGAGACCCTGGAAGCTGCAGCGACAGAGCCACAGCAGAGCCTGGGGTATGTAAACAGGACAAAAAGAGGAGCGAGATCTACGAAGAAAAGAGATTGGCCAGAGTGTGGCCCAGGAGGTCTGTGTGCAGCCCCCAGACTAGCCCTCTCCCAGCGCCAAGGGCCCCCATCAGGATCGGAAAATGACACCTGATTCTACCCAGGTGCAGGTGCTGTTCTAGACCTTGATGTGAATCACCTTGCTTACCGCTCACAATTACACCTTGAAGTCGATACCACTATTATCCCACTTTTCAGACGACAAACTGGCACAGACAGATTCAGTAACTTGTCCAAAGTCCCACCGCTGGGCAGGGGCAGAACCAAGACTCGAACCCCAGCCGTGGCCTGCAGAGCCCGGCTCTCTCTTACTACTGCTCCACTGGCCTGTTACCTCAGCCCAGCTGGGCAGCCTCAGGGGGACGCAGGCCCTGCTGCGAGGCTCTCAGGGCTGACCGAGAGCAGGACCTGGGGGCTAGGTGTGCTGGCTCTGTGTGGTCCCGGAGGACAGAGCCAGGCCCACGAGGACAGGCTTTCAAACGGGCACTGGACAAAACATGCCACTCAAGGGTGAGGGGTTGGCAGTGGCGTGTGAGCAGAGGCTGGGCAGACTTTGGTTGGAGAGGCTGGAGAGGGGATTCAAGTGGAGGGTGGAGGTCCCAGACTCCACGGTTTCTGGCCCTAACAGCTGAGAGCCCGGTGCTATGGGGCTAAGGCCACATGGGCGCCGTGTGGCTCGCAATGAGCACAAGGGTGTCCCTTCCCATCCTTTACAAGAACCCCCATGTCTCCCAGTCTGCAGCAGGTGGCACCCCATCACCTCCCCCCTTCAGAAGCTCAGCAGCCACCTGGGCAATGGCACTTGGGCACAGGGGTCCACCCAGCTGCTGGACACACCCTTCGACCCCACGACAGTACCTTTCAGGGTGACAGAGAGGTTGATGTCGAACGTGTAGGGCTGGTCGTGGCGGAGATACGGCAGGGGCTTGGGGTCCTGTGAGGGCAGAGCACAGCACAGAGGGGCTGAGCCCCACAGCCCAGCAGAGCAGCTGGCAGAGAGAACCTGAGGGAGAAGGGGTGTCCCCTCTCCAGGGCCCAGCACTGTGTCCCTGGACACTGGGGGGCGAGGGTGGTCATGTGTGCTGGACTCTGGGAAAAGCAGCCAAGGGAGGGGCATCGGCAGGTCAAAGGTAGACAGAGGACCCATAAAGCCAGGGAGGGGAGCGCTGGGGAAGGGGGACAGTGGGAAGCGGACAGTGGGAAGGCCAGAGATGCGGGAACAAAGCCAGACCTGCAGGGAGAGGCCAGGCCAAAGAAAGGGAAGGCGGAAGGCAGGGGCGGCCAGCAGAGGCGCTCAGCCCTTCTAGTGCTGCATTCAGTGCGTAGGCAGCTTTGGTAGCCAGAGCTTTGGTAGAAAGTCTGAACTTTGGCCAAAAGCAGTGTTTTCCCAAAGAGCAACATGTACCTGAATCACTAGTGGGCCATGAGACAATGCGGGGTGATTTTATTTTAATGGTTATGTGTTTCTTTCTATGATTAGCTTGGTGGCTAGTAATGAAGATAGGGACATAAAGTTCCTTTTCTAAATACATTATGAGAGTTTTCAGATGGAAGCTGAAAAAGCATTTAATAAATAATTGTTCAGAAGTGGCAAGGGTCGTGAAGGTTGCACGTAAAGGGTATTTGGGAAGGGCTGGCATGAAGGGAGACAGAGCCCAGAGGTCTCTGGCAAGGGTGCAGCAGTGCCTGTGAACAGAGATCTGGACCAGGGATGGAGCCTGGAGGGGACGAGCAGGGGGTGTGGCGGCAGGCCAGGCGGTCCTGGGAGGGCGGGACTCACCAAAGATGGAAGAGACAAGTCTGGGAGACTGAAAATGATGGGGAGGGAGATGCTGTGGCAGGAGCGGTAGAGGAGGGAGCAAGGGGACAGTGTGAGAGCCGCACAGGAGCTTCACGAGGCACCGGTCTGTGGGGAAAGACTCCAAGTGTTGGAGCACAGCTCCATGGGATGACAGGAAGGCTGAGAGGTGTCCAGGAACCACGTGTGAGCAAGGCGAGGGGGAATGGGACCGGGGGAAGGGCAAGGCTCAGAGCTCAGCTAGGGCTGCCCCCATGTGGAGGACGGAGTCGGCTGGAGCATCACAGGACTCTAGGAGATACAGGAGAACCAGGACAGGTCACATGCCAGAAGCCAGGGGGAGAGAGCGCCTAGGAAGAGTAGGGGCCCACCAACGGGTCCACACTGAAGAGGGCACAAGGTCCCCGCACTGACCAAGGTCACTGGGCACTTTGGTGAGACCACTGGTGCTGATGGGGTGGAAGCAGCGGCCAGACTGTGACAGGCTGAGGAGTGAGGGCTAGGATTGTGAGATGGGCCTGGACAGTGGTGCAGGGACAGGAGGCTCAGGGAACACAAGGCCGAGGTTCAGCGCCAGGACGGACGCCTTGCTGTCTGACCCCATGCTGCATTCTATCAGTTGGGCTCCAGGGGGCGCCATCACACAGAACACAACTTGTTGACCTGGAAAGTTGTGCAATGTGGTGATACTGGAAGGGACCCCTTTTCCTGCCAACTGGCCAGTTCCCGGCCTCAGAGGATTCTAAAGGTTACAAAATTCCATGTTCTCCTCAAGAACTGTGCAGGGGGCAGGGAAAGCAGAAGGCAGAATGATTCCTGCCACGCCTGCCTGGAGGTCCCCATAACCAGGACCCCCAGCACATGGGCATCCTCCAGACCCTCTCCATGCCTGCTGGGCAAACAGCCTTGGAGGCAGAGGGGCCTGGACTTCTTGCAGAGGGAGTGCTTACCTGCTCCTGGTTGGGCACAGCAAAGGGCATGAGGGCATCCATGGGCACCACCCACGGAGAGATGGTGGTTCCAAAACTCTTCCCGAGGAACGGCCCAAGAGGGACGTACTCCCACTTCTGAATGTCTCGAGCTACAGAAGAAGGGCCGAGCAGGGCTTACAAAGGCTGACCGGGCCCCGCGGCAAGGCTCCCCCCTTCCCTTGACCAAGGAGCACAGACACTCAGCACAGCCCTCCCCCACCCCCGTGCTCTGGCCCCAACCAGGCTGGCTGCCCCAGGACCAAGGACAGAGGTCCTCTGAGGTCACTGTGCCACGCTGCGGCAAAGAGCAGGATGACCAGAGGGCAGGCGGGATACTTCCCCATGAAGGGGCTGGAAGCTCATCCTCATACTGGGAGGCAACACTTGCTGAGATTCACAGCACCACGGTCCTCCTACAAATGGCAGAGGGGCTGAGATGGGCTCAGAAACTGGGCTGCTGTGTTTGAAATCTTAGCTCAGCAACTAGCTGAAGCCGTCCTTGTGCCTCATTCCTCACCCGTGTAAAACAGGAGTAGTAATATTATCAGTGTCTCGTAGGGACCTGACAGGAGAGTCCATGTGACGTATTCAGCCCTGGGCCTGGCACAAAATTGCTCAAACGTACTAGCTGTGACATCAGCCTTGTCCCTGTTCAACTTAAAAGAAAACTGGAGCTCAGAGAGGTGAAGTAACTGGCCAAGAGCTCAGAGCTGAGAAGTCTGTTTGATACCCAAGCCTGTGCTCTCAGCCACTTTGACCGGCATCAGACCCAGGAGACCATCCACGGCTTCCCAAATACCCAGCCTTCACCCAGAGCAGAGTGCGCGCAGGAAACTCAACACCAGGATGCCCGACATCCCGTAATTACCACTCCAGTCGTTCATAAGGACCATTCCAAAAATGTGCTCATGGGCCTTAGAAATGGGGATCGGCTCTCCAAATTTGTTCCCAGGGCCTACAAAGAAAGCCTGACAAGGGGAAAAGTTGATGAGAATCTGGCTCTGACCTGCTGCCCCAGGTCACTTGCCTGGAGGGTAAAGGTCAGGCATTTCCAAACCCCAGCTAGGGACCTGGACCGTTGTGTACGAATCCACAGTTTCTATGCCATGACCAGCACCCGAGTAGATAGACGGCTACCCCGGGGACATGGTGAGCAGCTGCGTGCCAGTGCCCACCCAGGGCCCCCACTCACGGCCCCTGATCACCAAGGCAGCCCCCTTTCCCTCCTTCAGCCCACCCCACACCTCTGCCCTTTCCCCTTCACCCGATACCGTGCTCTGCATTTTAAGATTTGACAGCTACACCAGGCTTGTGAAAAACGAAAATATCAGGGTTTGTATTCGTGTCACAAAAAATCAGAAGGCCTCTGTGATGCAGCAAAGAGAGCCTGCCGGGGCGTACCCCACACCCCAACCCATCACCCACCGTCTCAGAGGAAATTATCACCAGCACAGCGTCCAGGAAACAAGAGAATATGTAGACATCATTGGGGGGGAAAAATTGAGAAGATAACTCAAAAGCACACAAAAGCAGCTATGACATGGGCAGGACCTAGGCTGCAGTGACAGTGTTTAAATGTTGCAAATTTTTGTCAAGATTCTAAAAAAAAAAAAAAGAGATGCCATCTTATAGAGAATCTTACCACCATCGTCAAGATTATCTGTGCTCCCTACCCGTCACTGTTTCTCCACACAATGACTTTCTATTTTTCCTCTGCCTGAGACCATATGAGACCTGGGACCCTTTGCTGCAGTGCTTGCACCTGGACAAACCTCTCCTTGAGCAACAAAATGCAAAGAAACTATACGGGACTAAAAATAACTGGGTGCATGCACAGGTGGGGCAAATTATGGACAAAAAGATACAAAAGACCAAAAAACCCAAGTGCCATTTCTGAAGAGCTGGGAGCAAAACTGGCGTTGGGAACAAAAGCAGGGTACTGCGCATGCCCCCTACACACAACACCACCTAAGGGGTGGGCAGACCACCTAAGACAACCCTCCGGCCCGACCCCTGGACACACCCCTACCCTCACCCCAGATAAGGAACAAGCTCGCCCCGCCCCGGCCCCCCTGCCGCCCCCCCACCCCAGCTCAGGGAGCAAGCAAGGGAAACTGTTGTTTGTTCTCACTGCACGATC